AGTTCACTTGAAATTTGCTAGTCATCTAATTGGTAAACTATACATTTAAACAATTAAAAATGAGTCCCATAACCAAAATCCTCAATTTTTTTTTTTTTTTTTTGAGAAGGAGGCTTGTTCTGTCACCCAGGCTGGAGTGCATTGGCGTGATCTCAGCTCACTGCAACCTCTGCCTCCCAGGTTCAAGCAATTCTCATGCCTCAGCCTCTCGAGCAGCTGGAATTACAGGCATGCACCATGATGCCAGGCTAATTTTTGTATTTTTAGTAGAGATGGAGTTTCACCATGTTGCCCAGGTTGGTCTTGAACTCCTGGCCTCAGTGGATCCTCCTGCCTTGGCCTCCCAAAGTGCTAGGATTATAGGCTTGAGCTACCGCGCCCGGCCCCCCTCTTTTTTTAAGGAGGTTTCCTTTGGAGTCACCTATTATGTGTGGCATACCAGGCTCTTACTATCACAGAATTTCTCAGGGATGAAAAGAACTCCAGAGATCTTTTCAATTAATCATCTCTTCTTACAAATGAAGCCACAGAAGAGGCTAAGTGACTATCTCAACATAGGTACTAGTAAATGGCAAAGAGAGGATTTGTGTCTAAGTTGGCTCCGTTTGGTTCTGTAAGTCACAGTCACAGCTCAATAAATATTTGTTGCTATATATGGCAATGTAACTTAAAATCATTAGGGCAAGTTCAGGTTCAGGGCTACTAAAATCATGGCTCATTAAGCCTTGCATATTTATTTGATACATTCATTCATTCTTGAGCACCTACTATGAACCAAGCACTGTCCTAGGGACTTTTTTTTTTTTTTTTGGAGATAGAGTCTTACTCTGTCGCCAGGCTGGAGTGCAGTGGCACAATCTTGACTCACTGCAACCTCTGTCTCCCAGTTTCAAGTGATTCTCCTGTCTCAGCCTCCTCAGTAGCTGGGACTGCAGGTGCATACCACCACACCCAGATAATTTTTTTTGTATTTTAGTAGAGACAGGGTTTCACTATGTTGGCCAGGCTGGTCTCAATCTCCTGTCCTTGTGATCCACCTGCCTCAGCCTCCCAAAGTGCTGGGATTACAGGCGTAAGCCACTGCACCTGGCCTTGTCCTAGGGACACTCTAATGAGCAATACAGGCACGGTCCTTGCCTGTATGGAATTTTCATCCTAGTGGGAGAGACTGATAAATTGCGTGTGAAAGATGGTATGCAGGAAAAGTATATACAGTTTAATGTAGCAGCTCAATAAAATAAGATTCCTTTGGATTGAAAAAAATAAAAACATCTTTGTGTTTCTCTGAGATAAATACGCATGCCTCTTTTCAGAGGCAAGTATGTTCTCCTACTTAAAATGCACAGTATGTACAACAGTCAAATCTATACTTTGGGGACTCTAAGAAATGTAAGTGAAAGTAATGGTCTTAAACTTCTGGTGCTCTCAGAAACATTTTAGTGTAACTGTTCAAAATACACCCACCTGGAACCCACTTCCTGAGATTGTGATTCAGTTAAGAATAGAATGAAGTCTAAGGCATCTATGCATGTGTATGTATATCTGTATATGTGAATATACTGGGTTCTACAGGAAATTCTGACACATTGAAGGCTGACATCAAGCACTGAGATTGTTTGAATAAGCTAAAGTGTACATATGAATCTTCTCTTTCAGACTATTCAGCCATCTCCTTACCTTGGGAGGCTACCCTCTTACTCTACTGAAGTTCTCACCACTCAAAATATTTTTTTGGAATGCTTTTTTTGGAAAGCCTTAAGGGACAGCTTACAATCATGCAAGAAAATGAGTTCCATTCCTTCACATGTGAGGTGTGTCTAAAGAATGAGATTATCTACCTTCATCCTGCCATCTTATTCTTATTTTGTTGAGTGACTTTTGAATGTTTCTGAACATTATCATAATAACATTATGTTTCATTATCCCCAAAAAGATGAAAATGTATCATGATTGAGAGCAGTCAAAGGAAGGTGCCAAAAGATAAAAACAGCAATCCAAAATTAACATTCTGAGCACATTGGCAAAGGCAGTTTTCACTGAAAACTCCCAAGTTGACAACTTTAAGGGGACAACTCATTTGGATATAGCCACTCGAGTGTACCTGTGGAAAAAGACACATTATATTTTATACAGTCTGTTTCGAGCAATGTGGGAAAAGAAATGACAAGGGAGGGTCTTCTACTCATCAGTATGAGAATTTTTTGCTCTATGCATCCCTCGTATTGCTTAACTTCCAAAAATGAGAATGTTTAGTCACTGTAGAAACTTCAGCAAGATGGAATGCAGAAACAAATGCTAATTGCAATCCTAAAATTGTGATACTTGGTTTTACTGAATTTTTTCAAAATGAAAAAGATTGAGCAGAAGGCAATGGCAAGAACTCAGTAATCACAGTGTTACTGAGAGGCCAGATAAATTAGGCTTGTGTTCTAAAAGAACAGAGTGACTTAAAAATATTCAGCAAACAGCTGTTAGTGAAGAGCCCAACCAAGCAACGAAAACAATCCAATCCACTGGGGGGCGGGGCTGAGGACAGGTGGTGCTGATCAGTCTATTCAGTCCTTGTATTTCTTTGGACATGAGACAAACTTCCTACTTCATGTTTCACAATCCTTTGACAAATTTCAGGCTTTCCTATTAAGAAACATACAGAATTTACCATTTTGTACAGCATTTGGCATTTGCTTTACTCTGAGAAAAGAAAAGTTTCTCCTAGAATTGTATTTTCAATTAAGTGTTAAATTAGCCAGAAAACTCTAGGGAGATTGTCAGGAAGTGTGAAGGTCAAGTTCTGCTTATGTGCTCCTTCGTTTCTCAGTGTTATATAGTATTTCAGAAACTTAATATCAAAATTGTCAAGGTCATCAAAAATAAGGTTAAGAAATTGCCAGTCACAGCTAAGAGGAGGCTACAGTGACACAAAAACTAAATGTAATATGGTATCCTGGAACAGAAAAATGTATTAGGTAAATGCTAAGATAATCTGAATAAACTGAAGACTTTAGTTAGTCATCACTTGAGTACTGGTTCAATAATTATGGCAAATGTACCACACTGTTCAAGGATGTTAATAAGAGAAAGCTGGGTGCAGTGTATATGGAAACTCTCTGCATTATCTTTCCAGTTCTTCTGAAAATCTAAAAAATAAGAGTCTATTTAAAACTAAAAAAAAAAAAAAAAAAAAAAAAAAACCAAAACCACCCCAAATTAAGATTAGCCTACATAAAACAGGTCTTTATAGACATGGATTTCTGCAAAAACAAAAAAACAAAACAAACAAAAAACCAAAAAAGTGACAATATGCTCAGAAGTCCAGTGCATGATTCTTTAAAAATAAAAAGTACTGTTCTTTAAGAGGTCCAAGAACTGAATGCAAATCAGAACCCGTGGGTTTTCTTCCCTAAATCTACTAGTGACTACCATTACGTACTCATTTTCATCTTTTTTTTTCTCTTTAAAAAAATAGTACCAGACTAATGAGAATTGGTCTGGCTTAGGAAAGGAGGAGGAAAACATAACTGAGGGAAGAGAACGACCTCTGCAGTAGAGATACTCCACTCAGCCACGATGGGAAAAGGGAGATTCTGTACATTAACAACAAACATTTAATTCCTGAAGAAAAAAAGTCTATAAATGCAAGTTGCTGTCTTCTTCACATTCTGGAGGAAAAACTAAGGACATGGCTGGATATGTTTTAAAAGCAAAAGGGCTAATTGTTGATGAAAATAAAAATTTTTAAATGTCTTCAGAACTTTAAGCATCTGGGCCAGGCACGGTGGCTCATTCCTGTAATCCCAGCACTTTGGGAGGCTGAAGCGGAAGGATCATCTGAGGTCAGGAGTTCAAGACCAGCCTGGCCAACACGGTAAAACCCCATCTCTACAAAAATACAAAAATTAGCCAGGCATGATGGCGGGGGCATGTAATCTTAGCTGCTTGGGAGGCTGTGGTGGAGAATCATTTGAATCCAGGAGGCGGAGTTTGCAGTGAGCTGAGATCATGCCATTGCACTACTGCCTGGGCAACAGAGTGAGACTGTCTTAAAACACACATACACACACACACACACACACACACACACAGAGGCTGGGCACGGTGGCTCATGCCTGTAATCTCAGCACTTCAGGAGGCTTAGGCGGGTGGATCGTGAGGTCAAGACCATTCTGGCCAACATGGTGAAACCCCATCTCTACTAAAAATACAAAAATTAGATGGGCATGGTGGCACTCGCCTGTAGTGACAGCTACTTGGGAGGCTAAGGCAGGAGAATCGCCTGAACCCAGGAGGTGGAGGTTGCAGCAGTGAGTTGAGACCGTGCCGCTGCACTCCGTCCTGGCGACAGAGCAAGACTGCATCTCAAAAAAAAAAAAAAAAAAAAAAAAAAAAAAGCTTTAAGCATCTGATTCAATGAATGAGTAATACAATATAGTCACTTAAAGAGCGGAAAAAATGACCCAAACCTCACAGTGTTTCCAATTAACCTGAATTTTTATTTTAACCCCAAGAGACATATAGCTAAAAAACTTCTATATTAACCTTTAAACCACTGAAGACTTTAAATATTAACAGTATGCCTTTAATGACACAATAGTGTAGCATCAACAGTGTATATTTGTCATGAAAAAAACAAAATACTGAGCTTGGCACACAGAACCAGAGAGGTATTTAATATTAACTAATGAATACGTAGAAAATATCTTGAAAATGCCTTGTTTGTCCTGAAATTAGAAATGTGTCAATTTTGAAGCAGAAGACAGGACTAAAATAAAACCAGTCACATTATTCAATAGTGAAACTGGCATTCTCTCAGTCCACTCACACGTTTATCTTTCAAACTACCCTGTAAGAAAATGTGTTTGACTCCAAGTGTCTGACAGTTTGTAGAAGATTATAAACTTTTTTTTCCTCTTCTGGTCAAGTTTTCTCATGAATAAATGCTTCTTAAAGTATTGGTTTTATACTCCCAAGTATTTGATTCAATTGAAAATATAGGCCAGGCTTAGTGGTTTACTCCTGTAATCCCACCACTTCGTAAGGCCAGGGCAGGAGGATTGCTTGAGCCCTGTAGTTTGAGACCAGCCTGGGCAACACAGTCAGATCCCATCTCTACAAAATATTTTTACAAAATTAGCCAGCCGTGTAGTATGCGCCTGTGGTCCCAGCTGCTCAGGAGGCTGAGTGGGAGGGTCACTTGAGGCTGCAATAAGCCATGATCATGCCACTCTACTCCAGCCCCGGGGGGAAAGAGGGAGATCTTATCTCAAAAAAAAAAAAAAAAAAAAAGGAAAAAGAAAAAAAGTACAGTAGTTTGTGTTACACTTTAGAAAGCAATTTGTCTAAACAGACATTCTAAAATCTATGTTGTTCAAAAAATGTTCTGTGGGGAAAACTCAACTGCAGGTGTGAAATGAAACAGCACTCTGTAAACCAGGTTTGTCACTCTCATATTAACACTAGAAGAATTAACAAGCAAACGATGGTTAATAGAGCAAACTCTATTATATCTTTAATGTATATTTTTATAACTTTAACATTTTTTATAATTTTCAAACATACCTAGAAAAAATAACTGACTCCCCTCATCACTGAGTTTCAACAATGATCAATATTTGATCTTTAAGTATATGTTAGTTATATTCACATTGTTGTGTGACTACCTCCAGAACTTAAACTGAACTTTTCAAACTAGAGTTCATATGCTGACCTGCAAAGGAATGAAGATTTTAAAAAATAGTTTAAGAGTTTTAAACTATTGTTGTCCATTAAGTAAATAACAAAATGTCAAAGATAATTTATTCTTTTACAATATAACCTCTTTTTGTTACAATTCTGAAATCTTTGCCCTTTGTTGAAGAAATGTATAAAGACTCCAGATAGAACCCAGGATGTGTGTAACCGCACACTCAGGATTACTATGAAATCTGTCACTAATCAAACTGATACGGTGCTTCTTTCAAGTTAGCTGTCTCTTCAATCAAGTCCTTCAGTGAAGAAATTTCAAATCACAAGTATAAATCTCTGCAGTTGTGCTTCTTTACAAAGTTGTATAATTAAATCTCTTCACACACACACACAAAAAGAAGGCTTTTTATTTTTAGACCCCTACTTCAAGTGAAAATTAAACAATTCAATTAATTAGGTTGCTTTTTGGCAGTCTATCTATAGGTTTCACCAACGACTTTTCAGAGAGCTATCTCAAGAGTTCATCGATTAGCAGACCTAGTTAACAGGCCAACCAAACTACAGGGCACTCACTGCTTTCCTTTTTTCTCCCGAATTTACTTTTATTTCGTTGGACTACAGACACACTTAAATCTCATTACTGAATATTTCCGAGTTTACACCCTGACTGTTCAACCAGTAGCAGTGATATGAAACTGGATTAGGGTCACTTTCAAACCTCATTCAGGTCTGTACTATTCTCTTGCTATAACTAAGAAAGAAAAGAACTGGTTGCAACCAAACCAGGTAACAATAATAGCAAATGCATAGGCAGAATAAGTCACAGACAACTGTCTCTCCCCACCCCCTGCCCCTTTTTTTGCAATCTAATTTTTAGAAATGCTGGCATTCTATAGTGCATTCAAGGGCCTTTTCTAGTTAAGGGCAAGAAAAAAACTCTGAAAGACTGTCCCAGGGAAACGGCAGAAATAGTACATATGCCTAAAGAGGTATTTTTAACAGAAGTTAAAGTAATATGGTTTTCATAGGTTGCATTTGGTCATTCAGCTGCAAGCCTGAAACCCAGAACACAGAAAAGTACTGTTTAAATACACATAAATACTGAGGTCCAAATGATATCCACTACCAGCGGTCACATGTTGAGGCCTGGCTTGCCTGATTTCTGCAAGAGAACCACATTTCCTAATCCCTGAGCATTTGAAGGCTATATAAAGCTCCTTTAGGGGCACTTGTTTCCCACAACTCTGAGCTGCCAGGAAGTTAAGACAAGGGCAACTAGAGGCCTTAACACCCAAACTGGAAAGCTTTAAGCTAACACCCTGATTAGAGATTAACTACTTCTCTGAAAACCTGGAGCATATTTTAAATGGTTCCCGACTTTCTCAATTCTGTGTGCAGACATCACCTCAGTGCTGTATAAATTAGTCATACTGTAAGCTCTATTTTAGATGCTGGGTACAGTACATATATAGAACGGCCCACAGCGGCTGGAGCCATGCATGGACCCATTTGCCGTGAGCGGGGTGGGGAAGTCAAGTGGGTTCAACGAATGCCCTGATCTGATAATCCTCCATCCTCCATCCTACCTCCCGCGTTCATTCCAGGAGATTTTCCGTGAGGTAGGGTGGGCAACGAAGTGGGGGTGAGTGGCTCCCCAAACTGACCAGGGCCAGGCGCGTGCCTGGGCGGCCCCTGCTCCCCACCAATCCCGGGCGGGAGGCACTCACCTCGAGCTTGTCTGTCAGCTCCTTGTGCATCTGCTCGTACTGCCGGCTCATGTCCTGGTTCCTCTCGAGCAGCGCCTTGCCCAGTCGAGCCGCCAACACTAGATCCTTCTCCTTCTGCCGGATCACCGACAGCAGCTCGGGGTCCTGGGCGGGCGGCGGCTGCGGTCCGGCCCCCTCGGCCAGAGGCCCAGGCTCGGCCTGAGGGTGTTCCCCGGGGTCGGACGGCCGCTCCCCGGCCGCCAGCAGCGCCAGCTCCTCCTCTAACGCCAGTTCCAGCTCCCCGGAGCCCCCAGGGAAGGAGATGAGGGCGGCGGCGGGACTCCGGACTGCGTCCCCGGCCGCGGCGGGCAGCTCCATGCAGCAGGCGCTGTCCGGCTCGGCGGGTGCTGAAGCGCGGCCGGCCAAGCCCAGGCAGAAGGCGGACATGGCCCGCGCGCGCGGAGCCCGCAGCGGTGCGGCCCGGCCGGCGCGCGCCAGGCTGCAGGGGGGAGGGGCCCCGCCGCGCCGCCCCGCGCCCCGCGCCTCGCCTCGCGCCGCGGCACGCGCCCCCCGGGTCCCCGAGAGCCCTGGGCGCGGCGCGCGCCGGCCCGCCCCTCCCCCGCGCCGACGGCACGCGCCCCCTCCCCCGCCCCCGGGCTCAGCTGCTCACGCGCGAGCTAGAGGAGGGGGTAGTAACGGAGGCTGCGGTGGGAAAGGGAAAGCTGGGAAAGGGAGGACTCGGGAACGGAGACTGAGGGACGGCGAAGCAAGAAGGGAGGAAGCGAGGAGGAACGCCGCAGCCGCCGCCGCCGGGTTCTCAGCCGCCCTGTTGCCGCCGCCGCCGCTGCTGCTGCTGCCGCCGCCGGCCGGGCAGCGCCTCACGGGGCGGGCTGCGCTCCGCGGTCGCCGCGACGCTCGCTGCTGCTGCTGCTGCTGCCGGCGGCCGCTCTCTGCAGCCGCGCTCCATGACCCTCGGCTTGGCGGCAGCCCCAGCAGCAGCGGCGGCGACGGCGGCTGCTGCTACTGCAGGGGCCGAGGCGGCGGCTCCACATCGCGCGCCGCGCAGCCGGGTGAGCGCCTTCCTGCCTTCCCCGGCTCCTCCAGCTCACCGGGCCGGCCGCGCCCCGCCCCGGGCTTCCGGCCGCGTCCCCTCGCCCCGCCCCGTGCCGGCGCCTGACGCGTCGCGGGCACCTGTTCGCCCCGCCCGGGCGGGATTCGCCGGCTTGTAGGTCTCCTCAGCGGCGCCCAGGTGGCGCCGGCGGCCTTAACCCCTGCGCTGCCTCACGCCCGGAAGGCGGATGCGCAACCCTAACGGTCCTGGCAGCTTCACCGGCGCGGCCACGCCCCCGGCCTCGCACCCAGTTCGGGGCGCGGTTCCGCCTTCGGCCTCGCTTTCACCTCGGGTGGGGCCACGCCCACAACTCTGGCACCTTGGGGTGGGGCCTCGCTCTCACCTCAGACGAAGCGTGGCCCCGCCCACCGCCTCCTGCCTACCTCCAGGCGCGGCCCCGACCCCGCCCCTTGGAAGTCCGTGCGCGCCTCGGGGTCACGTCGCTGCCTTTCTGGTGGTCTCTGGGGCAAAGGGGACTGAGGACGTTCCTCCAAGACGGATGGCTCGGCCCCGAGAAAGACAAGCCGTCACGAAATTTAGGTCTGGGCCCCCAGGAGAACTAAGCAGTCAGGAGAGGGAGCCCTAGAGAGCAGTAGGAGGAGAGAGGACTTCGGAAACCCGGCATCTTTATGCTGATGACTCAGGGATATGAAGGACCAGATGCTTCGCAGATCAGCAGCCCCGAGAGAAAGGGTTTCTGCGTAGAAATAACGGAAAAAAACTGCTCACAGATGGGAATACGAAGCAAAGAATCTCCCTAATAATAACTACCGTTTATTCGGCACTCAGTGTGTGCCATGTCCTGTGTTAAGTGCTTGATAGTCATTTTAGATAATCCTCACAAGAACCTTCTAAAAATCAGTACTGCCACTTGTCATTTTAACAGAGAAGGAAATTAAAGCCTGAGAGATGGCGTCGTCTTCCCAGGTCATTACAATTGGTAGAGTCAGGATTGAGATCCAGCCAGGCCGACTCCAGGGATCACGTGAATTATTATTCTTTATTTTCTTCATATAGAAGCAGTCTTGAGGAAGATAAATGGTCTTTTGTGACCAAGATAGATTGGATGGATGTGGAAGGAACGCTTCCTCAATGATTAAAACAAGGCTTGGAGAGACTACTGGGTGACTTCCGGTCAGTCCTTGGTGTTGACCTCGTTGGTGGTGCTCCGTGTCTCCTATTTTCAGAAACAATCCCATCTAAAGCTAGAATTCCTCCCTATTGCTTTCTTTTCCTCTTGGACAGACAACCCATTTTTTGCTTGGATCATGCCTTTCTTCTTTTCATCCCAGTGAGATGGAAATTTCAGGACATCAAGAGGCTGAAATGGGTCAAATGGTTTCTCATGGTTTTTATTGCTTATTAAATTCAGAGCCTAAACAATATTCAAGTTTTAACATCGTTACCGTAAGACTGAAGGCCAGAATCTGAAAAGCTCCTAGACCTCAGGGCTGGTATTGTTCACTTGTTGACTGGAAAGGAGACTGAAAATTGAGGGGTTCCTACATCAATCTTAAAGCTAAATTTCTGCAGTCGACCTTGGTACCATTCCAGCAAGGAAATATTCTAACACTTTTTATTATGACCTTCCACCTTAAGCTCCAACTGTGGGCCCTGGTGAGATCCAATCACCACTCACCACTCCCTTTGTTTTATTTGAATTACAGAAGGACAAATTTCTCCCTAATCTATCTGGAGACACATCAGGAATAAACAGGGCCAGGCTCTGTGGCTAACGCCTATAACCTCAGCACTTTGGGAGACTGAGGCAGGAGGATTGCTTGAGCCCAGGAGTTCAAGACCAGCTTGGGTAACATGGCAAGATCCTGTCTTTACACCAGCTGGGTGGCTCAGGCCTATAACCCCTGCAATTTGGAAGGCCAGAGTAGGAGGATCATGTAAGCCCAGGAGCTTGAGACCCGCCTGGACAACATGACAAAAACCCCATCTCTATAGAAAAATCCAAAAAAATTAGCCAGGCATGGTCGTGCATGCCTGTGGTCCCAGCTGCTCGGGAGGCTGAGATGGGAGGATTGGTTGAGCCAGGGAGATCAAGGCTGCAGTGAGCCCTGATCACACTACTGCACTCCAGCCTGGGTGACAGAGCAAGAACCTGTCAATAAATAAATAAATAAATAAATAAATAAATAAATAAATAAAGCAGGGAGTATTTCAGCTCTTTTTTTCTTAATGCAGACATGCAGCCTGTCTTTCAAAAAAGGACTTTGTTTGCCTTCCTTGAAACCAACGGTCCTAATCTATTCCACTTACCTGTTATTACCTGTTACTGTGAACATGAACTATTACAGTACTAACTCTAGCTTTTGAATTTCCTCCCTAACAGTGTTCCACTGCTGAACCTTACTAGGAAATGATCATTTCTTACAGTAGGTTTGGCTCTAAGCACTGTCTTCCTGGGATAACCAGCCCAACTTTGCAGAACTATTTAAGATAGTGGTTCTTAAACTTTTTAGTCTCCGAATCTCATTACACTTTTGGGCTGGCTGTGGTGGTTCATGCCTATAATCCTAATACTTTGGGAGGCCAAGGCAGGCAGATCACCTAAGGTCAGGAGTTCGAGACCAGCCTGGCCAACATGGTGAAATCCTGTCTCTACTAAAAATTCAAAAATTAGCTGGGCATGGTAGCACATGCCCGTAGTCCCAGCTACTTGGGAGGCTGAGGCAGGAGAATTGTTTGAACCCAGTAGGCGAAGGTTGCAGTGAGCTGAGGTTGTACCACTGCAGTCTAGCCTGGGTGACAGATCGATACTTGGTCTCTAAAAAAAAAAAAATGTTCTCAGCCTCCCAAATAGCTGGGACTACAGGCATGTGCCACCACACTTGGCTAATTTTTGTATTTTTAATACAGACAGGACTTCACTATGTTGGCCAGGCTGGTCTCCAACTCCTGACCTCAGGTGATTCACCCGCCTCAGCTTCCCAAAGTGCTGAGATAACAGGTGTGAGCCACTGCACCCAGCCAACAAGTTATAATTTCTTAAAGATTAGTTGCAATGTGAAATCTAAAACCATGTCAAGGAAATCCATTGATCTATTTTTCACTTTGAATGGATTTTTTACATACGTGTGATTGATTGCATAACAGGGAAAATGAGTTACACAGATCTTATAAATATTGTCGCATGTCATTACACAATATCAGCTGAATCACATTAATATCACCGCCATTGATCTCATCATAAAAGTCTTTAAGTATTGGGAAGCTATTCACCTTGAGTTTTATTAGTGGTAACAAATATTTTCAGTTGTTTCCTTGAAGTAGCAGACTTACTTCATTAATTCCTGAGAAAATGTCTGCCAAATACCCAAATCCGAATACCACAGTTTGTGTCATTTATTCAAGTAAAAACGTGTTCCATGAAAAATATGGCTAGTTAATTCCCAACTCAAATGGAGGTACAAGTGCTTCACCTCAGGATAACAATCATACTTCAGTACGCAGCAGAAGTGCTTTACGGGTACTTCCCATTTCATCACATGAAATATTTAAAAGATCTGGCTGAGCATGGTGGCTGATGCCTGTAATCCTAGCACTTTGGGAGGCGAGGCAGGCAGATCATGAGGTCAGGAGATCGAGACCATCTCGGCAACATGGTGAAACCCTGTCTCTATTAAAAATACAAAAATTAGCTGGGCATGGTGGCACGAGCCTGTAGTCCCAGCTACAGGCTTTTTTTTTTTTTTTTTTTTTTTTTCCTGAGACAGAGTTTCACTCTTGTTGCCCAGGATGGAGTTCATTGGCGTGATCTTGGCTCACCGAAACCTCCACCTCCTGGGTTCAAGTGATTCTCCTGCTTCAGCCTCCTGAGTAGTTGAGATTACAGGCATGTGCCCCCACACCTGGCTAATTTTGTGTTTCTAGTAGAGACAGGGTTTCTCCATATTGGTCAGGCTGGTCTCGAACTCCTGATCTCAGGTGATCCGCCTGCCTCGGCCTCCTAAAACGCTGGGATTACAGGCGTGAGCCACCGCTCCCAGCCACACTATCTCCTTTAATCCTCACAATAATCCTATAATGGTAGTGTGTTACACCAATATATACTAGTACATAATACTATGATGCTAGTACTAGACATGACTGTCTCGAAAGGACTTGCTCTTAGTTACTCTGTCACACTTCACATTTTTATACATTCCTTTAAAACATATTTGCATTAGTGTTAGTTTTAGTACCTGAATAGTCTGGTATACTTGAGTATGACCACAGTTTACATACTTACTTAACATACTATGGGTGAATTTCCACATAAGTGCTATTACAACACCAAGGGCAAAACATGACATTTTTTCTTCTTAGAAATCCTGATATTTACAAATATGACAACACTTACCCGATTTCCCCAAGTTGTTTATTAACATCTTGGTCTGTGAAAACTGGAAAGTGTAAAAGACAAAACACGTCCAAAACAATTGTTTTTGAAAAGCCAAGTGTTGAAGAAACATGAGGAGCTGGTGAAATGTGTGATAAAGCAGTTCTGTGCCTGATTTTTTCGTTGAGCAACGATGTATGTGTGTGTTTGAGCACGAGCAGATGCACACGTGTTTTAAGTTGTATATTTTGTCTATGAACTAGTCATGGAAACAGAAAAGTCTTGAAAATTCGTAAAATGTTACCGAAAGCACTTTATATTTTTTAGATCTCAACATTTTGCAAAATGTGGTGTGTATACCGCTGGTGGTTCTCAAGTTGGTTTTTAGGGTACAAATATTAACATCAGTGGCTGGTGCTCACTGGAGTCAGTCTTTTTTTTTTTTTTTCTGAGATGAAGTCTCACTCTGTCGCCCAGGCTGGAGTGCAGTGGCACAGTTTCAGCTCACTGTAACCTCCACCTCCTGGGTTCAAGCAGTTCTCCTGCCTCAGCCTCCTGAGTAGCTAGGGTTACAGGCGTGTGCCACCACACCCGGCTAATTTTTTTGTATTTTTAATAGAGACGGGGTTTCCCCA